GGTTCATTTTCACACCAAGCGGTAACACCTTTTGGATCAATATGTTCAGATCCAACAACACCAAAACCATACCAAGTGATATCCCAAACTGGTAAAGTACAAGCGTGTCCTTCACCTAATAACATTGCTTGAAAAGGAGTTGGAGTTCTTCCACGCTTATATTCTTGATGATCAGGGATATGATTCAAATCTTCAGCACCAACAAAACCCCAACTTGGTTCGTTCATGGTATCATAACCAATCACCAAAGAATCATGAAGGCCGGCCTCACAAATTTTTGTTGCCAAAGTTTTGTAAGCATTAAAATAATGAGATTGTAAATAATCTTGTATATTAACACCATCAACGATACATTTTTCAGCATATAATTTTCCTGCAAAGAATAAAGTAAACATGGTAGCAGCAGCGAGTTTATAATAATTAGTTGACCAAACCATTTTAGGATAATGTTTTGGATCATGATAAGTATTATGAACAATGGCAGCATCAGTAGCAACGAATTTTTTCATATCAAAACCAACAAGATCAAGAGTCCATCCAGGAGCCCCAGAACCTCTTAAACCCTTAACTCTAAATTTACTAATAAAATTTTATGATATATGTACGTACGTACAGTACAGTACGTAGATGCATCTTTGATTTTCTGTAACATAAAATTTAATATAACGATAATATATAAAGTAAAATACAATAAAATAACTAGTGTTTAGAGTTTGCAGCCTGTTTCCAAATTTAGATGAAGCCAAAAATTAAAATAATTTATTCCACCAATTAAGTTGTGCAACTTTCCCGATAACAATCGGCAGGAATTCTACAGGTTTGACTCGGCTATATTTAAATTTCTTTGTTAATTTTATTCGGGTATATATATTTTAAAATAAATTTCATAAATATAAATGTAATTACAAATAAAAAAAGAATCTTATAAATGATAATTACAATTAACAAAATTGGAGTTATTTTTCCTTTTATTGATCTAAAATTTGTTTTAGGAATAGAACGTTAGACTTGTACAACTTATTTACTGCCATTTATTCAAAACTATAATCTTTATTAAACGTATTATTTTCTAATTTTTTCTTTTTTTTTCGCTTATAAAAAGTTTATATATATATATATATATATATATATATATATATTTTATATAATTATAATTCTACGTTTAAAAGGCTGGGTTACGACCGGAAACTTCCACTCTAGCTCGGCTCTCATTTTAAAAATGTTGCCGTTTAAGCACGCAAATAAGGATTTATCTGAAGAAACATTAATGAAGCTTTCAAATTCTTCAACTACTATCGCTATGGATAATGAATCTTTATGGATTGATGGAAAATGGATAAAAGATTCTTCTGATCGTACTTTAATGTTTCGTGGCATAAATTTATCCGGCGCTTCCAAAAATCCTCCAAATATACCTTCACATGTACTCGAAGGTTTTTTTGACCATAGAAATGTTAGCTTTATTGGGAGACCTTTTCCTTTAGAAGAAGCTGACCAACATTTCTCTCGTTTAAAACACTGGGGTTTTAATTTTTTGAGATTTATTGTCACTTGGGAAGCTCTTGAGCACAAAGGACCGTAAGTTATTCGACTTCTTTAATTCCCTTTCTCTCTAAAAATTTATTTCGACTTTAGTGGTATATATGATTTTGAATTCATTGATTATATTATAAAAATCCTTCAAAAGGCCAAAGAACATGGCTTTAAATGTTTTATTGATCCTCACCAAGATGTGGTATGTTATTTATTTCATTTTTATTTCTTTATTTATTATTATTTTTTTTTTATGGTTCTATTAATATCTATTTTCTTTTTTGTTTTTTTAATCCAAATTATCCATATTGGAGGATAAAAGGTTTATAGCAATCTTGATTTCAATTTATTGGTT